CCCCCTCCCCCGGCCCGGTTTAAGGAACCATTCATAATTCTCCACATTCGTACGGATACAATGGTGGGCTTGTGGGGGAGGGGTTTGGGGGTGTGGAGCCTTTCCAGTGCAAACAAAATGTTGCCTGAAGATGAAGAAAGGATACGGAAATGAAAGCCAGCACTGTGTTTAATATAGCGATCTAGTAGGTTTTGTTTAATAATTCAACGCACTTTAGCCGAAGGTTTCATTTATTCGGTGGTAGGCTTCTTGCGGTAGGTTTTAATAGGCATATCCGTGGAAAATGGTTAAATACTTTTATTAGCGAGCAGCGAGTGGATTTCCACACGTCCTGTAGTACGCCTGGAAATCCGTAGTAAACAGGAACGCTTCACAGTTTTGCGCCTAACTTCTAACAAGTATACAATTAAAGAGGGGCGATTTAAATCTCCTTGGAAGCCGTGCTAGGGGCAGGCTTTTGTTACCCGCGCTCCGGCCGCTGCAGCTGGCTGGGGGGGGTGGTACACAGGGCTCGGAGGGGGCGCGGGGGAGAGAGTAAGTCGCTGAAGATTCCGCTTGTGGCGGTATGATGCAAGGAGACATGTCTTACCATGAGGGCTGGAGCCCCAGACCATTGTGAAATTACCAGGGGCTGGGTGAATGTTGCTGTAAGTTGGAAATACGGCCCTTCTGGTGTGTGCATCCAAGCGCTTGGCTCACCGAGAAACTAAAATTTGTAATTTGAACCCATTGTTTAATCACAGTGTCATTTTTACGAACTTTTAGTTGTCAGCTTGCGATTGAGGAAAGCGAATGTTTTGTGTTCCACTCATCAGAATTTAATCACAACTTTCATTTCGTAGAAAATTAGCAAATAATTATCTTGGGGATAGAGAGAAACATTTTTTTTTTCTACACTATTAACCTGTTTATGACTTTTCGATGCCGGATGTGGCATTTTTCCTAAATGAATTTGTATTTCATAACCCCGTCCTGTGCAGTCTGGCTAAAATAAACAATTGCCTGTCCAAGTTAAAAACAGCCCCCTCCAAACTACTGAATTCTTAGTTAAACTTGTGAAAGGAATTAGTCGCTGTTTTTGCAGATTAATTGCATTCTTTATAAATTTGATTTGTACAGAATCTATAAGGCAGTCTGCAGTGCTCATTTCTACATGGTTGGTCTATAGCGTTACCTGGTATTTCCTCTTAAAACTGCTAAATGGTGTATTTATTTCATTAAATATTCTAGTTTGATAATCTGTTTTGCTGGAAGTTTGTTTTTTTTTTAAGAAGTGAAGATTGAGAGTTCATGATAACAATATGCATCAGCTGTCCAATAACATCATAAACCGCTTTGTAATCAGATGATTGGGAAAAAAACCTTGCTTATTAGCAATCCCTTTTTTTTTTTTGATACTCTGAAAACATCTTGCTAATAAGCTGAAATATTTTCTGTAAAGCTAACTAATGTATAGCTTTCTTTGTCAAGAAGGGTGGGTTGGTTAGTGGTTTCAAGAGTAAATCCAAATCTTGAATGCCAAAAAAGGCAAACCAACAACAAAAACTTGCTCACACTGCCTGACAAATGTCTGCTTCCCTGTACAGATGAACACAGTTCAGATCCCAAATCTTAACGTTACTGAGAATACAGTTTTACAATTTGAGATGTAATTTATTTTGGCAGTCACAAATCAAATGCATGAGCACACATCAGAGTATTCTCCCAGTTAACGTGTTTTTCAAGCCACCTCTGTAGGAAAAGCCTTATAAAAATTTTCTTTTTTTTTTCTTGTATTTCAAATGTTTATCACCCACACAGACCGAGAAGTTAAAATACTTACATAAATATTCTACACAAGGAAGCAAAGCCAATCTTTAATTAGCAAGGGCTTTTACGACAGTCTGCCATTTAGAATTAAAACTCAACCATGTGCTTCTTCCCACCTCCGGGGTGAGACACCGAAAGCCGCCGCCGTGTCCACCCACCCCTTCTTCCACGGTCACGGGCGAGCAGGGCGC